CCTGCTCCAAACTGTTTATGTGAACACTTGGATACATTTTCTTTGTGGCAACAGGGAAACAGAAGTCAGGTTTCTACAGATGAACTCTAAAGTAAGAATGAAATGAATGTGGCAAAGTTGCACACAGACAACTGAAACTAGCAAAGGATATTATTGAGATATGTTTTCTTAAGTTTAAAGTTGATCCTTGGACCATAGAGTTTTGAAAAACTGCATTCCTTTCTTCTATTGAAAAAGATACTATTTTAGTAAGACTCTAATGTTAGTGTTATTTTAGTACCATAAGAAATTACTGTCACTATTTGATAGAGAACTATATAATAAGGTTCTTCTGCTATATTGTGACAAAATATTGAGTAGATTTGTTACTTGAGGAATCAAGTTATTATGCTATTGTACAAAATATCAGTTCTTTATAATCAGTCCAATAGTATGACCTAAGTTCTCCTTATCCAGTGTATTACACAGATAAAAAGGCAATGCAGTATAGAGATTAAAAGCATACACTTTGAAGTCTATTTCTACCACTTTCTAGCTGAAAGATATATAAAAGTTACATAACCTCTAGGTCTCATTTTTTTTTTAATTTGTAAAATGAGGATAATTATATTTGCCTCATAAATATTCAAGGGGGGACTAAACAAGATATGGGACTTCCCTGGTGGCTCAGTGTAAGGAATCTGGCTGTCAATGTAGGAGATGTGGGTTCCATCCCTGGGTTGGGAAGATCCCCTGGAGAAGGAAACAGCAACCCACTCCAGTAGTTTTACCTGGGAAAACCCATGGACAGAAGAGCCTGTGGCCTACAGTCCATGGGGTCGCAAAAGAGTCAGGCATGACTTAGCAACTAAACAACAACAGCAAATATCTGAAAACACTTATCATTTTGTCTGGCAGTAGTAAATGTTAATTCATCACTATTATTGGCATACAGGAGGTATCTCTTTTTAGATTTAATTCTCAGATTTAAATTATCATCATACCTATATTATATGGAGACAGCTTTTAATCATTTCAACAGTTTTACTTCATCTTTAAGACACTTGTGATTATGCTTGCAGAGTATGCTTTTTATGAATCACAAAGTGATTTCCTTTTCTTTAGTATATAGCAATTGCAATGCTTTTATTTTTTTGGGGGAAACTAATAAACTTCATGTTTTTCCCAGTGATAATTAGGGAAGGCAAGTAAAAAAACATGGTTCTTGCTCTCAAGTTTTAATTTTGGGAGAGAAATATGATACATATGATACAGCAAATGTTGGGTATTAATTTCAGACAGTGTCCCAATTTTGAAACACCATTCTCCAATGTAATAAAATAATTGATTTACATTGAAAAGAATCACCACATTCTATACTATTCTCTGCTTCTGGACTTACAGAGTTTTGGAACACATCAAAAGTTTTGGAAATAAAAATAAATCCAACCAGTAGTGTTTTCCTTATTTCCAGGAATCAAAAGTGGCTGATAACATTCATTTTCTTCTGAATAACATTAATGATAGCCACATATTGTTGTATGTTTAAATAGTGGGTCTGGGATAACCTATAGCAATTATTATTTATGAGATTAAAGAAGAACTGTCTTCTAATTTTGAGTGATCTTATGGAAAATTTAGATCCTGATTATTTGGAATATGTATGTAGCTGATGATGGAAAGTCATGTCTATGATAAAATTCTTAACTGCTTCTACAACCAAAGTAATATTGTATGTCTCTAAATCCTTCTAAATAAAAGTTTCCAAATGGAAAAAGACATATTCTCTACCTCATTGTTATAGACCTCGTTACACATTTATTAATATTTTAACAAATTGAAGATAAGTGTTCTGAAATCTTGGTGAATACTCTCTTTTTCTCTTTTGTGTGTTACTTTAAAGTGTCTATATCACATATTTTACATTTTGTTATAGGGTTAGTTAATATCAAATAAAGATTGTTCCAAAGATGCTTAAGCAAATTGTTCTATATCAAAAGACAAAGCCTTGAAAAACGTCATCTCATGTTCATATGATGATTTAACAAGGTGACTTATACTTTATTAAAATGTAATGAATAAAGGATTTTCCTGTTTTTAAAAAAGTAGCATAAAGTTGCCTGTTTACTGTCATAAAGATAATAAAACATTTTTTTTTCTGGTGTATAGTTTAATGTATGTTTCTTTGGTCTTTTTTTGTTTTCATATAAACCACAGAATATATTTAATTCAAATTAAACATGAAATTAGAATAATGTTCAGTCCTTATCAACTAGCAATTACTTTTTTTTTAAAGAACAGTACATTTCTGTCTACATTCTGGCAATCCAGCAAAGCATAAGGCAATCCAGTTTGCTGAGGTGATGGATCCAGTGGTCACCCCCAATGTTTCTGGTTCTGAGGGGTCGGGGAGGCATAGACCATGCTTCATACAAAACGATTCTGCAGCAAGTCTGAAGGAGACGAAACTCCCTTGTGATACAGGAGAATGAAAGTCCAGGTAGCAGGAAGTAGTTGAGTGTAATGGATATATTTTGTTAAATAGTCTTCTTTCTTCTTCACTGCTCTTCCTTCATTCCAAGTTGCCAATGGTGCCACCTGCATGAACAGTAGTAACAAAAGCACATCTTGGCAATGATACTCTTTCTGCTGTAAGTACCTCTTTAAAAAATGGGGGGGGGGGCATGATTCTTTCCCATGTAAAGAAAGCCAGCTTCTTCAAGACAGATCACCCAGCTTTAAGTGTCAGCCTCTTCTCTCTCCTAGAGCTGTGTAAGGCCAAGTCTCGCCTTGTGAGATCTTTTTTTCTCCTTTAGTGAAAGCTTCTCACTGTTTTGTCTGGAAAGATTAACGTCTGCCTGTCCTTGCTACACTCGCCAGGGTGGAAGGTGTCAAGTGTGGGGCGTGGCTTTCTTCACAGGGCTGTGCTTTCTGTATCATTGTCCATATCCCACAGAATGCGGCCCAGCAAGTCTCTGCTGGCTGAGTCTGAATACATTTCAGGAAAGACACTGCGAAACGGTTCTGAAAACCTAGAATTGGCATCATTAAATATTCTAATTTCAGTTCTTACTGAATATGGCAGGTCATACATCTGTGACTATTTTTGGAGGTGGTAAGAACTGCAATGATGAGGTTGCCATCCCCATGGGATGGGCGGCAGGAGGATGAGGGGGCGGGGCTGGGGACATTGGGCCAGTTTCCTGGCTTTGGTACCTGTTTAGGTCTCGGTAAGATTCCAGCGTGTTGCTCTGCGGTCTCGGAGTTACTCACTGCCTGGCTGGGGTTCTGTTTTCCGAGGGGCGGGGTGCTGGGGGGTGTCGGTGTCTGGGAAAGGGTGTGGGACAACTGCTGGAGTTCAGGTTCACTGGGCACCCCGGGGATGGGTGGGCCCTGCTGCTGCGGAGTTTGGTGAGCGCGGCCGGTGGTGTGGCCTGCATGGGGGTCTGTGGCGGCTGGTGGTTGGGGGCCTGGATCAGAAACAGGCTGCTGAAGTACCCCGGAGGTGTGAAGAGCTGCGAGGTGGCACAGATCTGGCCTTGGACCTGGCCTGGGGGCTGAATAGGGGGAGAAGGGCTTCAGGTAGACTGCTTTGGTGACTGGCTAGGTGGATGCTGAGATGTTTCTGGAGAACTCTAGCCCCCAGGATGGCTGGGAGGCTAGTTTCCTGGTTTCAGGAGCAGGTGTTTTTTGTTGTTGTTGTTGTTTGTTTTTAATAACAGTTTGGCTCGCACTGTGTGGGCTCAGGCTGGTGGAATTTGTGTGCAGGGGGAGGGGAGGCACAGAGAGCTGATGGGAGCCGGCAACTGACTGGGCCTGGGGTGGGGGTTGGGAGTGAATGGAGTCTGACTGCTGTTTCTCCCTGGTGCAGGTGTATCAGCAGAGTCCTTGGGCTTTGCAGGACTGCTGTCGCCCGGGCTGGGCCCCTGCCCCAGTATACCCTCAGAGGAGGGGCCAGTCCCACACCCTGTGCTGCTTTAGGTCCTAGAGCTCTGGAGAGGAGGCTTTGGGCCCACTGGAGCCAAAGTGCTGCCATCTGTCGTTCGGAGTAGCAGCTGAAAAGAAGGGAATGAATGCTTTCTATTTAGAGTTCCACCCCGCCAGTGGGCCTGGAAGTCCATAAGCTTCACACCAAAGCTCTCTTTCTTCACCAGGTCCCCCTCCATCACCACCATGCTGGCAGACCGCTTCCTTTCCAGGGTCCTTGAGTGGACAGGGTTATTTCCAGTGTGGGATGAGTGACTGTAATTTGGGGTGGTGAGAGGTACAAACGCTTCTGACACGTTAAATTCCACCTCTTCGGGGAATAACCAGGTGGCACAATGAGTGTTGGGTTTGATGACCACAACCACATTGATGGATGTGGCTGCTGCCGTCTCGGCAAGCGTTCCTTCACTTTTGGTTCAAAAGAAGTTAGTGCCTAACACGATTGCAAGGCTGCTGAGAGTCATTTTGTTAATGTCACTGGTCTGAACAAGTTTTGCAAGGAACTTGATTAAATACTTAAAGTTAACAAAATTTTGTGGTGGCAACTTCTGACATGTTCTCCACAAATCCTGAAGTTTTTGTCTTGATCCTGTACACTTGCTATTTGCGTCCATTCTTCATACAGATTAAAAGTCATCAAAGGTTCAGGCAGTTCCTGTAAGTAGAACTTTAAAGCACCTGCTGCAGTGTTGCGGGGGGTTGGGGGGTGGGAGTAGAGTTAAATTCATCCAGGTGAGAAGTAGAACAGTCTAGAGCAGCTTTCAGTTTCCTTAACTTCGAGGCCCCAACCCCAGTTCAGAAAAGTTTTCTCCTCCTTCTCACCTGTCTGCAGCAATAGCATCAGGCAAGCCTCAAGGTGCAGCACATCTCACCACTGCCCTGCTTCAGGTGTTCTTGAAAGACGTCCCAAAGGTGGACTTCTCCACCCACTTATCTTGATGGGCTTGCAACTCGTGAAGGACCTTTTCTAAGACTGCTAATGCTTTTCTATGGTAATCTGCTTGAGCTTATAATAAGGTAACAAAGAATTTGCTCTACTCGCCTTCTTTGACCATAAAGTTGTACATGTCCACTGCAAGCTGATCCTTGTACTCTTCTACTTTATTTCCAACCTCATCCATTTCTTCCTTTAGGTCATCTATTTTTGGTGGAAGCCCCTGCAAGTTGGTTCCTGAAAATTTGTGAGCCTGGTGCTCCCTGGTTCTGACCAAGTCCCAGTCTAACACCAGTTTGGCTAGCTGCTTCCTTTGTTTCTGGATGTCGGGAATCTCCATCTCTGCTATGCTGTACAGGGGGACCACAATCTCCTTCTTAACAAAGACTTCATGCTGAGAAAGTTCTAGAGCCAGCTGATTCTCAGCATCTCCACACCTCTCCAGCATCTTCCGCAGGAGAGAGTCTTCTAGCTGAATTGATGCTTCCTGCAAATTCTGAGTTAGAGTTCTCAGAGGGAGTTGTTTGTGTCTCTTCTTGGCTGGAAGCAGGCCATGAGGTACTTCTGAAAATGGTGACACATGGAGTGCACCATATCTGGCATTGCTAGATCTGTAATAGATCTTTACTGAGGTCTTCTGTTTTCTCTTCTCCGCCCACAGTCTGGTTGACCAGCTGCTTCACATGGTTGAATTGCTTCTTCTTCTTCTTTTTTTTTTTTTTTGCTACTTTATTTTGTTAATTGAAAGATAATTGCTTTACAAATATTTGTGGTTTTCTGTCATATATCAACCAGAATCAGCCATAGGTAGACCCATGCCATGTCCCCTCCCTCCTGAACCTCCCTCCCATTTCCCTCCCCATCCCACCCCTCTAGATTGTCAAAGAACCCCTGATTGAGTTCCCTGAGTCATACAGAAAATTCCCATTGGCTATCTATTTAATATATGGTATTGTAAATTTCCATGTTACTCTATCCATATATCTCACCTTCTCCCTCCTCCCCTCCCCCCATGGCCACAGGTCTGTTCTCTATGTCTGTTTATCCCTTGCTTCCCTGAAAATAAATTCATCAGTATCATCTTTCTAGATTTCATATATACATGTCAGTATACAATAATTATATTTCTCTTTCTGACTTACTTCACTCAGTTATAATAGGCTCTAGGTTCGTCCACAGCTACATGCAAAAGAATGAAATTAGAACACTTCTTAATGCCATACACAAAGATAAAGTCAAAATGGATTAAAGACCTAAATGTAAGACCAGAAACCATAAAACTCCTAGAGGAAAACATAGGCAGGACACTCAATGACATAAAGCAAGATCTTCTATTAACCACCTCCTAGAGTAATGGAAATAAAAATAAGTGGGACCTAATTAAACTTAAGAGTTTTTGCACAGCAAATAAAACTGCAAACAAGGTGAAAAGACAACCCTCAGAATGGGGAAAAAATAATAGTAAATGAAACATGCAAGCGGTTCATACAACTGAATATCAGAAAAGCACACAACCCAATCAAAAAGTGGGAAAAAGACCTAAACAGACATTTCTCCAAAGAAGACATACAGATGGCTAACAAACCCATGAAAAGGTGTTCAACGTCACTCATTATTAGAGAAATGCAAATGAAAACTACGATGAGATACCATTTCACACCAGTCAGAATGGCCATCATCAAAAAGTTTGCAAACAATAAATGCTGGAGAGGGTGTGGAGAAAAGGGAACCCACTTACATTGCTGGTGGGAATGTAAATTGACACAGCCACTATGGAAGACAGTATGGAGATTCCTTTAAAAAACTATGAATAAAACTACCATATGACCCAGCAAACCCACTCCTAGGCATAGACCCCGAGGAAACCCAAATTGAAAAAGAAACATGTACCCCAATGTTCATTGCAGTTCAATGCAGTTCACTCATTTACAATAGCTAGGGCATGGAAGCAACCTAGATGTCAATGGACAGATAAATGGATAAAGAAGCTGCAGTACAAATATGCAATGAAATAGTACTCAGCCATAAAAAGGAACACATTTCAACTGCTTCTTCATGGTCGCGCCTACATCCCTTCCTCACTGCTTTCTAGGCCATGGCCACACCATAGCTATTTTAGTTCCAGCAGCTCTGCCCTTGGGGTTGGCAGGTTGGGACTGGCTAGGAGAACCAGGCCCCTGGTGGTGCACTCTTTGGTCTTTCTGTAATGCCCAATTATTACATATCTGGCCACTTGCCCAGCCCCCATCTCTTCAAGAGAGATAAGCTTCATCTAAATTATTTCATCTGATTGGTGATTGTCATTTAAAATTTTATTGTTTCTTCTGTCTTGGGTATTCCTTTGGAAAAAGTATATAGATTCATTGCAATTTCTAAATAAAATCAAGCATGTATATGCTGATACTTTTTAAGTTGACTTGTCTTTATATTTAGAAATGTCTCTGAATAGTTGGCTATCCTGGTGGCTCAGATGGTAAAGAATCTGCCTGCAATGCAGGAGACTCATGTTTAGTCCATTGGTCAGGAAGATCCCCTAGAGAAGGAAATGGCAACCCACTCCAGTCTTTTTACCTGGACAATTCCATGGACAGAGGAGCCTGGCAGGCTACAGTTCATGGAGTCACAAAGAGTTGGACATGACTGAGCAACTGTCACTCACTTACTCATTACATATCAGAAATATAACTTAGTTCCCCTATATAGTATCAATAACTGATTAGTATCTGCAAGTTTTTTTTTTAATGTTTGTTTTTAAATTTTTGGTGATTTTTGTTTGCTTGCTTTACTTTTTCACATGCATAGAAACTTCATTACATAAGGAATTCAGAAGTGACTGCACAGAGACTACAGTTAGAAGGTGGTGTAGAAGGGTCATATCCTCCATGAACTATCAAAACTAACTGGCAAAATCTCCCTTGTAAGCTATGTTGTGAATGTATGCTCAGTTGTGCCCAACTCTTTGTGACCCTATGGACTGTAGCCTGCCAGGCTCCACTATCCATGGAATTTTTCAGGCAAGAATACTTGCCACCCCCTTGTAACACAAAGCCTCAAAGTGGAAGAGCCAGCGAGATTCAGCAGAAATTAGAAATTACACACCAATATTTTAAATACATCATGAACACCATAGGGGGCCAATTAAAATTCTCATATATTTCTAGTAGGAATGTGTAATAGTAGAATCAACTTGGAAAACAGTCTCACAGGCAATTTGCTCAAAGAAATTTAGACATTTTCTAATATAGTCTTAAAAATCATCTAGCCTCTGCTCAAATCCTAATTACAAAGCTGATCTCACATATTTAGTTATTTTTTTATATAATATAATGCCCTTTTGATACCAAGATATGTATTTGTTTCTTATTGCTACTGGTATAACCCAGGGATCCTCTATCTCTGATTTTAGCCATATAAAACCACAAAAAAACAAAATAAAACAAAACAAAAAAACCACCACCACCACCAAAAATAACAGCAAAAATAAATAAATAAATAAAAGCCACCCAGAACTGTGATCTAAAATGATCGGAATAAATTTCTGTGTTTTTAAGGTGCTATGTTTGTAGTAATTTTGTGGCAGTTTCTTAGTCTATTGAGGCTGTTATTTTAAAAAATCACAGTCTTCATGGCTTAAACAGCAGAAATTTTTTCACAGTTCTGAAGGCTAAAAAGTCCAAGGTCAAGGTCCAGTACTGTTTAGTTTCTTGTGAGGGCTCTTTCTGTCTTCTAAGCTGCCTTCTCACTGTGTTCTTACGACTTCTTTGTGCTTGTGAGAAAGAAAGAAAGCTCTCTGGTGCCTCTATTTACAAAGTCACTAATCTTATTATAACAACACAAGAGACAGCTCTACACATGGACATCACCAGATGGTCAATACCAAAATCAAATAGACTTATTATTTGTATCCAAAGATGAAGAGGCTCCATACAGGCAGCAAAAACAAGATCTGGAGCTGACTGGCTAGGATCATCAACTCCTTATTGCAAAATTCAAGTTTAAAAAGAAAGTAGGGAGAAACACTAGACCATTCAGTTATTACCAAAATCATTGTGGAGGTGATGAATAAATTCAAGGAATTAGACCTAGTAGGCAGAGTGCCTGAAGAACTATGGACAGAGATTTGTAACATTATACAGGAGACAGTTACCAAAACCATCTCAAAGAAAAATAAATGCAAGAAGGCAAAGTGGTTGTCTGTGGAAGTTTTACAAATAGCTGAGAAAAGGAGAGGAGCCAAAGGCAAATGAAAAAGGGAAGGATGCTGGGAAGGATTGGGGGCAGGAGGAGAAGGGGACAACAGAGGATGAGATGGCCGGATGGCATCACTGACTTGGTGGGCATGGGTTTGGGTAGACTCCAGGAGTTGGTGATGGACAGGGAGGCCTGGCGTGCTGCAATTCATGCGGTTGCAAAGAGTCGGACACGACTGAGTGACTGAACTGAACTGATAACCAATGAGTGCAAGTTTCCAGAGAATAGCAGGGGGAGGTAACAAAGCCTTCCTAAGTGAACAATCAAAGAACTAGAGGAAAAAAATAGAATGGGAAATACTAGAGATCTCTTCAAGAAAATTGGAAATATCAAGAAAACTTTTCATTCAAGGATGTGTGCAATAAACGACAGAAACAGCAAGGACCTAAAAGAAGCAGACGAGATTAAGAAGAGGTGACAGAAATACACAGAACTGTACAAAAAAAAAAAAAAAAGGCTCAATGATCTGGATAACAATGATGGTGTGGTCACTCACCTAGAGCCAGACATCCTGGAGTGTGAACTCAAAAGAGCCGTAGGAAGCATTACTATGAACAAAGCTAGAGGAGGTGACAGAATTCCAGCTGAGCTAATTAAAACCCTAAAAGATGATGCTGTTAAAGAGCTACACAAAATATGTCAGCAAACTTGGAAATCTTGGCAGTGGCCACAGGACTGGAAAATGTCAGTTTTCATCCCAATCCCAAAGAAAGACAATGCCAAAGAATGTTGAAGTTACCATACAATTGCACTTATTTCACATGCTAGCAAGGTTATGATAAAAAGTTCTTCAAGTTAGATTTCAGCAGTACATGAACTAACAATTTGCAGATGTACAAGTTGTGTTTAGAAAAGGCAGAGGAACCAGAGATCAAATTGCCAACATACATTGGATCATAAAGAAGGCAAAGCAACTCCACAAAAACATCTGCTTCTGCTTCATTGATTATGCTAAAACCTTAGACAGTATGGAGCACAATAAACTGTGGAATATTCTTCAAAGATGAGAATATCAGACTACTTTACTTGTCCCCTGAGAAACCTGTATGCAGGACAAGAAGCAACAGTTAGAACTGGACATGGAACAAAGAACTGGTTCAAAACTGGGAAAGAAGTATGTCAAGGTTGTATATTGTCACCCTATCTATTTAACTTATATGCTGAGTACATCACGTGAAATGCCAGCCTGGATGAATC